GCACCTACATTAAAAGTAGGGGCATAGGAGTTGTATTTGGCCATGCTTCCAAGATAGTTTATCGTACAACTTCAGCACGACTCGATCCTTTAGACTGACAATCAATCTGGATGAGCAAATTATACTGTTTTTGAAATCTTACCGCTAAGAGTAAAAAGAGCCTAGCATAATTACTTCGAGCAGGTAACAATAGAGAAACATTTCCCCTCCCTTTTTGCACTTTACACCCCGAACGAAGGGGTCCGCTTGCCGACAACCGTCACATCTTCTATCGGGCATGATCGAGTTGCGTTGAAATTACGGTCAAGGACTTTTATCATGCGCTTCCCCTTGCGAAAAAAACGGTGCTATACCAATAGCAGTGGTATCTGAACTGAATGGCTCTTAATCAGTATAAACAACATATTTTGTTAGATAAATATAAGCCAGCTGTTGTAGGGGAGTTTTTGGTGTGACATGATATAGTATGTATGGTATGGATGCATGGTAGGAGTCGTGTCTTTGCCTGTAACCACTCTGTCATATCGCAAAATAAAATGAAATTTCAATGTGGTAATTTTTACAGAATGTGACCTCATACATGTGGTCAACAATGGACCTTTGAATAAATTAAAATGTGATAAACGTTCCCGGATCATCTTCTTCCTTCGGGATTTACTTAGCTGACTCGTGTGTTCTTTGTGAGATCCGTTTTTATTCCATCCCATCATGACAGAAGGAGCGACTTTAACAGTAATATTAAGCACGTGAGTATCCTTATTTTCGTTATCAATACCCTCATTAAAGAAAGTTTGATAAATTTCTGGCTAAAGAGAAGAAGTCTGTCCGGTTTCAAGACTCGAACCATGTCAACGTCCCCAAAATAGTCACGCACTTTCTCCTCTTTCCTTTCCACCATTACTTAAAGTCACACCAGATATAACTGAGCTACAGCAATGATCTAAAACTGAAAAACCAAGGACTCTCCGTGTCGCTTCAGTGACTTGCTCTGTACTTTGCATAACGTAACAATGTTTCTTCCAAGGTGTCAAGCTCCTTGAGGAGAAAAGTGAAGAAAAATTCAGCTTATTAATGAATAACACATTTGTTAACTATAAGAAGCTACAGAGAGGGGAGCATTGGGGCCTATTAGAAACCGCAAAACCGTAGAACAAATTGTCCAAAACCGAAAAAAAATTAGATGAATACCGAAAAACCGCATGAAAAACTGTCAAAACCGATGCATTTTCAGATCCCAGCTATTAAAATTCTGATCGATCCCACACAGTAGTGACAAGTGGAATAACAGAGTAAAATGCACTAATTTCATCACAGTATTAGTGAATGTCATTGACTTGGCATTCTGATCTTCTAGTATCTGCTTAAATTATAGGCTTTATTTCAGCTGCTCTCTCGAGGACCTCGAGCGCGGTCTCCGCGGACTCAGCAGGTTGGTAATGGAGCCCAGTTAAATTGCACTGTCCTTTGTCATACTGCTGCACCATATTCATCAGTCAAGACGCGTGAACCCCTACGGATGGTCAAGTTCTTGGGCGTCATTTAAGACAAGTGAACCCCCCAGGGATTAGCCTACGGGTAGCAATGTACCCTCCCCTCCTACGAGGTGAAACGGAGGCGAGGTTCCCTCGTTTCCAATTCACCTTGGCGGGGGGAGGGTAAAGCTTCACTTAGGCTACCTAAGGATCCCTGCGACATTACATTTGGTGGGTCACGCAATCCTCCTAACAACATTTGCGTTTAGCGGCTATTCGAGATCAGTGGAGGCGCGTAAATTGCCGCTCAGATCGAAGGGCAACCGGAACCCAAGTAGGTCAAATAGGAAAAACCGAAAATTGCATCGGATATCAAATCCAAAAACTAAGGCCGATACTTTTCTAATTAGGAAATTTTGGAATCTTCTCACATTATTATAAAATTAGACGAGAAGATTAAATACAAATGCAAGTCCTAAACGTATGAATCATTAACTTTTTGGTATTGCTTGAGACAAGAATACTTGAGCGATTCCAGAGAAATTTAAACCCGCGCGTACATGGACATGTATATGAAGATGATTGCGGTCACCTTGTTTGTAACTAAGGTTTCCGCCTGACTATCACTTCAGCGATGATATCGCTTGAACAAAAACAAACCAAAAAAATTAAATAAATGAATTGATGCGTAATCTGATTTTGATCAATTAAAGCTTTTATTCGAGTAAGTTATTTACATGAAGCTAAATAAAGAAATTTTGAGCGTTTTTTTTATAAAAATTTCCAGAAATATTTGAGTCAGTGACTTTATTTTCCGAAAGATTGTTCAATGCAGAGTTTAGAAATTATTTTTTAAGATTCAACACTGAGTCAACCAGATGTAAATCCTCACCCATTCATCAGTATATTCGAAGAGTGATATAGCAATCTTCCAACAGTCATCTCGCATCGCACAGAAAAGCGTCTTAAGAGGCATATAGTAGGACCGAGGCAAGTGATCGGATGATTCCCATCGAAGTCCAGAAATAATTGGTCGACTGAACGCGATCTCGACTTACCTGCGCTTCAAATCTCGAGAATTATCTTTTCTCACTAAATCATTTAGCCCACATGATACGATGGCTGATTTCCTAATGTTGAAAGCCTGATTATATCTGTCTACTTACTTCTCCGAAGGATTTCTAATTTTCTTTGTCACGTTTCGAACTGATTTAGGAAGAGCTTTGAAAGGGTTCCACCTTACTCTGATGCACTATCTATTTTTGTTTTCTCTAATCTGTCGTCCAAGTTGTTCATAATCCTGCCGGTTGCTGACGAGAACTTGTGGAAAATGTGGTCTTTTTCGAGAAAACTGTTAAATTAGCCATGAAGGGAACTAGTTCACGAGGTCAAGCAACAGAGGAAGAGGGTGTGTATGAAGGCCAAAAACAATGAAGAATGTTGTTCATTTGTCACAAAGAACATATAAAAATCTGAGTCCTTATTGAGAAATCGGCTGAGCTACAAATAACTTGCTAAATGAGCTGGACCGTGGTGATTTTACGCGGCTCGTATTCACATTTTTTAAAACATGTTTGTGATAAATGAATAACCTTTTTTTTTCTGATATTCCTAAATCGAGTGTGAAATTTCCCAAGACCCAGAGTCTCTGATCATTGGCTCAGGCTTATACATCGATAAAACACTGATGATCGACAATTTTTGCTACTTTACCATTTACAGAAAGAGCTGAACCGATTCTTCTTGACACAAGAACTCGATACACTGTCGCTACCAACTGATACATGTTTACGCACATATATTTTTTGTCATCAACTTCGCAAGAAAGGCCGGAATCGATAATACATCGTATGATGCAATAGGAAGTTTGTAGTAGTGACTAACCAATTGACAAATGAATTCCAGGTTGCTGTGAATCTGTTGAGGAAATGATCACATGTAACGACGAAATGCGGTAGGAAACAAAAAAAGTGGCCTACAGCACAGTCGAGTGGACATAACAGTCAAATGTTTATGCATATGTGAAATTATGGTGACCAGGTGGCGTGCTTTCAGGCTGTCGAATCCATGTAGCCTCACACGAGTAACAAACAACTACACATAGCTGGAAATCATGGTTTTTTCAAATATAACCCGTTGTATTCAAAAAGTGGAGTTTTCCTTACCTTTTAAAGGAGGTATCAGTGAGTTGATGGCTTTTTCGACTAACGTTAAAAAATTTGCCCATTTTACGGCTTATGTTTCACTTTCTTCCTTATCATGATAAGATGAAAAATTTATACGGTGAAGGTTCTTTTATCGACCAACGTTTAAAATTTGCCAATTTTTGCGCTCAACGGCTATATTTTAAGTCTGTTAGAAGATTCCTCTGAATGTTTCAATATTCTTTCGCCTATTTTCCAGGATAGCAGCTGTCCTTTTTAAGTTTTCTTTCGATATTTTGAGCGGGAAATTGGCACGCGGCCGGCGAAAATTGATCCCCTTACGCATGCCCGACGTTTGACTGCTGTGATAGTTAAGCCGGTGTTACTGATGTTCTTTGCACGAATAGTCAGTTTGGAAGATAAGTGATCGCTTGAATTCCAAAGCTTAGTGATTGAGACATAACGTAATTCACACAATACAAACAACATAAAACATCGTCGGAGTACCTTTCCGTCCAGAATTTACTGGCAGATTGTTGTGTCATTTTCATTAGTAGGAATAATATGTATCGCGAATAATCTAATCACGTTATCAAATATTTCCCATTGATTAAATCAAATTGTTCATTTATTTGCCGTGTTTTATTTTATGATACACCATACCATGATATTTGAAAATAGAAACAAGTACTACGCTAACGCTGAAGTTTAATTTAACGTCGTCAAACCTTTGGAATTCATAACTTAATTATAAAAAGGAAAAGAAATTAGGGATATTTTAAAAGTTTTATACTTTACCAAGCTATTATAATCTCTTGACTTCACTCGATAGTTCAACTATACAAAGATAAAGCCTCTCAGTTACATGGAGCTAAATTCCAAGTTCAAAGTGCTTTGAACCTTCGGAAGGTTTTCCTTCAGTACGCCCGAGCGCAGTATGCTGATTTCCAACTAATCGCCATACATACTTATCCCTTGTAAATAACACTGTTTTTTTTGTTCGGTTTTTTATGTACCTTAAAGTAAATCATTGTAAGTATTCTGGTACACAACATTACTTATTGATACAATATTTTACCCTTGTAAAAGTTGTTAGTTAGACTGATCCTAAAGGATAACTTGAAAGGGTGGTTGGGGAACGTGCAAGACACTTACATGTATACATATACGTTAATAGTTCTCTAACAGCAATTATTAAATAGCACTATAGATAATGGATGATGGTTACCATCATTTCTACCAAAATAGTCCGTTATTCGTAATGACAAGACATATGATTAATTATAATTGTTTTCCACGACAATTTTAATCATTTCTCTTTAAGGTTTAAGTTAATTTTTATGTTCTTCATGAAATCATTTTTAGTATTGGAAACGAACAGATTTCAATGATGTTCGCCTTTCTTTTTTCCCTCCAGATTGTGCTGCGATATCATCACGCTTGCTGTCTTGGCATGATCGATTTGGGCGTATACTGTTTGGGACCGTTCTTTGACAAACTTTGCGCTACTTTCTCGGGAATGGACCAGATCAGCGTACACAAGACCACGGTATGGAGGGGGCTTCTAGATCCTAAAAAAGTGAATGATATCTTATAGGCAAGTCGTGAAACCAGCTACACCCAATAACATTAGCAACATAGTAGCTAATGAGGAAAAAAAAGACGAAACAAATATGATAAGCTGACAGAATCAGTCTTGCCCTTTTGCTGTGATTTGTTTTTGATCTTATTTTTGTTCGTTTGTCTGTTAGTTTTGATATACCCATTAGAGTTTAGAGGAACCTTTAGATACTTAAAAGCAAGTCCAGCTGCCGTATTTCAGCTGCACGCTTGACTGTCATCGGTTTATATTTTGAATCGAAGAGGGGAATGTATCAAGATTTTTTCCTTAGATTAAACAGCACTGAAGCAAAAAAAAGATGTCAATGAAAAATAATAATAATGATAATAATAATAATAATTAAAATAATAAAAAGGAAGAAAGTTCTCAGGATTTGTGAAATTTATTACCTGTGGCGTTTTCTTCTTTGTCTTGTCAACAGCTGCGTACAAATATTCACTGTTCCCGCCAGCCTGAGGTGTCTCGCTCTCTGCAGCCTCTGTGTTTTTGTCGAGTCCTAAATCAGTTGGATGCGACGAACGATCATCACAATCGACACAGGACCTCCGGTTCACAGGTAAACCTGTTCCTTCCTGAGGGCGGTCCGATGATTTTTTGAGAGTGCTTGCTCCAGAACTGGCTCCGCCTTTTCTTTCTTTATGAACAACAGCGTATACGTAATCTTTTCCTTCTACTTTTTTATCGCACAAAGCAAGTGGCTGCTGTATTCCTTTCTCACCACTTACCAACACTGTGTTTTCTCGTGCTTTTTCCTGAATATCTGAACATTCCTCGCTCATTGACCACGACCTACGATTAGTCTCGTCTAGGTGATCGTGCTCGCACTCTTTTTTGCAGGCGCTCGCTGGATCATGGGTGATTGGCCCAGATTCGGTTTGTGAAAGGGTTAGGTGAACAGTAACCTCGGCGGAACTCTGTATTTGTTGGCCAAACACAGGATCCATTTTTTTTTAGGTCATCGTGATCACTTAAATGCATGGTTTCTTTTTATTGCTTTCTTCTTTGACGCGCGCATTATGCGATCGGTACGATGCTCGGGTATGACCATTTGAATTTTCCTAAAACTAGAAGACAAAATACTAGATAAAAAAATATATGGGTTGATGAACCCCTCATTCGATAGTTTTGATATAGTGCGAATGGACATTTGACTCGTTGCTCGTAAATACTTCGCAACTCGCAAATACTTTACAACTCGCAAAATATCTGCGCGTATTAGACGCTAGGCCATCGAATAAGGTGTAGTTAGGATGATTTACAGTCTAATGCGAGATATCCACATTATTACTGCCTAAGTTCATTCATGAGCTTGTAGGATGGTTTGGGTATGAACTATATTGTAACATCATTTCCTACCTCGCCATTAGATGATTTTTCCTAGAGCTTTCCATGCCTCCTCCCTTTCCGCCAACTTGGATAATCGAAGACGTATTACTTACGAGAAACTTTAAGGTGCTATCACAAATACAATGATTTAAGATTTCTTATCTTATGCTGACCTACACAGTCGATTATAACCTCTTCTGGTTACCATTTCAACGAAGATGGTTGCAACTTGAGCCAAAAGAGTACTTGAACAATTGTTTATTAGTGTTACATTTAATTGAACAGTTAATGAGTTTCCGATTGAATTGTAGACCAATGTTCTATTGCCAGGCTGTTCGCTTGGTTTTTGGCTCTTCTTCACTAAAAGTGAACAAAAACTGGACCTGGGTTCCATTTCTAGAACGCTCCGGCAACTTATTGCGCTTGAGGTCATGTCTCAAAATAAAAATTAAAAGAATAGAGAAGTAGGTTGTAGAACCCTACCCAGTCCATTTTGTTTCTTTAACCAATGGTTTTATTGTATGGTTTTCAAAACTTTTGAAGATCCATCTTGAATGAAAACATGAAAACGGGCACGTTAAGTTACCTGGAACTTCGAGAAATGGGCTCCAGAACTCCTCCGCATAGAGATCTTGGTTTGTTATATATGCTTGACAACCTGTCTGTCAACTTGATAAAGAACAGAAGACGACAGTTTCTCTACTAAAATAATTACAATGATAATCGTTTCTTGTTAAATGAAAATGGCGAAAATGTAACGCCCTAAAGTTTGAAAAGGTTTTTGAGCAACTTTAACGTGGAGGCTATTCAAAATTCTCTAGATGGGTTCCGTAACACCGTGAATGTAAGGAATAACAGTAAAACCAGTCGCTGGTTCCTTCTTATCAGGAGTGCTACTGGTTGTAACTGCCTTCCGGCAGTGACGGAGAAATGTTTTGGTACACTACAAAATGGAAAGAGCTAAATTCATCCATAAGCCACATCGGTACCAAAGTCGCGAGGGCCTATTTTGCCTACCAAGGGTTGTTTTAAACTATTTAAGCCAAATATTCTGACCTCTAACAATAGTCGTTTCTACGCTTTGGATATCCGCGACTAAAAAAGTGCAGAATAATCACTGATCTTTTAAGTTTATGACCTTTATTCTTGTGTGTTTGCCATCACATATTCAATGTCGCACATGCATTGAATGAAGTTGTGACCATTATGGAAGTAAGAGGCACAAGCACCTGAGTATGCTGCTTGCTTCTGCTTTTACGGAGTGTCTATGGTCGTCGTTCAGTTGAGAAACGCTTTCTTCAACAGGTGCGACGATTTCAGCAGTCGGTATTTTACTAGGAGCAATAGCAAACCTCAGACCTTCCTCTAATCCACTCCGTTCCAGCGCGGATGACTGCTTGGAGGAAAGGTTCATGACCCACTTATCTTTTGGAGATGAACCTGAACTAATAAGGGACCTCTTACTGAGAAAATGGCGGAGTTTTTCTGCCGTGTTTCTCACTCTGTTTGATAAACGTCTGCTGTTCTCTCGAACAGTAGAACTCCTTGACCCAAGAGGTTTCGGAGTTGTTTATCAAAGCACAGAATTCACTGAGTGAACGATAGAAAAACGCTCGAAATGAATGTAAAGAACTGTGGCATTCATCTTTTCGCAACCTCAGAAAAAAAGAAAAGCCAGTAGGCACCATGAGCTTGTTTCCCTTGGCACTCCACACGGGAGGCTGAAATCTCAAACTCTTTGGCGAAGCACCTTATTTTCTGCGCAATACTTAGCAGTGCGCAATATGATGTTCGCGAGCTAGTTGATCCTTGTAACAATAGTTTTACCATACTAACATACTTTACCATACTTTACTAACCCTAAGCAACCCAATAGCCAAGCACCTTTTTTTCTTTGCATTGGTAATTAAATGACAGCAACACTTTGAAATACTTAGCAATGCGGACTCTGATGTTCGGGAGCCAGTTGACCCTTGAAACAATTAGTTTGACACTTTTTTCGCAATCAAAATATATTAAAGTTCACAAGGCAACTAGGTAAACAATCAGATATGGTTTGATGCTCCTCTGGTTTAAAGATTTAATAAATGTAACCAAGAAGTTACAAGTCATAGACACAGCGTTTCGAGACTCTTGTCTCCATCAGGGGTGATCTAATTGCAGCAACAAGAGGTCCTTTTATATGCTCAATAGTTAGCTGCTCCTTTTCATGACGGGTTGTAAATAGGCGTCAGGTAGGAAGCCACCATCATCACAATTGAATGGAACTTGGGCGGAGTTGATATGCCAAGCTTCCAAAGAAAGGTGCTGATATTAACGTCGAATAGTGGTGATAATTTTAGAATTATCACACTCAATTGTATGGTTAGTTAGCATGCGTGTTCCGACAAAGCTGAACTTTCTTTTTCGCAAAAGAAGATCGGTTTTTAATACTCTTTCAAGCGTGTACCAAACTGAAGTTTCGTTACCCAAGAACAACGAACCGACACTATTTATTATCTTCCGTGAGATGACTGCAATCACGAGTATATTGCAAAGACCAAACGTCAGTTTGGTATACGTTTAAAGCGCATCAAAAAGCAGTGGGTGGGATAATTCTAAAATTTTCACCAATGATCGACGTTACCACCAGCGCCTTTTTTTTTTGGAAGCCTAGCATATCCACTCCACCCACGCTCCTTTAAATCGTGATGATGGCGGCCTACTACCTGACCCCTATTTACACCTCGTCAGAACAAAGGGCATCACAAAGGGCAACTAATTATTGAGCATATAAACGACCTCTTGTTGCAGCGATTAGATCACCCCTGTGAGGGTGTTAGACAGAGGTGTCGAAACGTTGGGTCTATGAATTGTAACTTCTCGGTTACATTCATTAAATCTTTAAACCAGAGTAGCATCAAACCATGTCAGACTAGGGTCATATCAGATATCTCATTTCCCTCGAAGTAAGTCTTACCTTCTGAAAGGAGCTCATTCCGAGTATCTGTCAACTGAGTTCTGAGTGAGGTGAACGTTGTCTTTGTCACTAACGGTTTGGGGGTTGATCGAGGTCTTGATGCTCTCTCAATGAAAATATCACCATTTTCTGAATTGTTGAATGTGGTGGAACAATCTAGAAAGAAAATATGAATACGAGTTTCTCGCTTCAAAATCAAAGATCGCTTTCAACTTTTTTGTCTTACTGTTATTTTAAATTGGGTCAACATAGCTTCGGTATAATCATGAACTTACTGACTTGTTTTTCACATATATATCCTGGATTGTCATCATAACTCTCTCCTTGGCACCTTATGTTGTTATACTTTCCGTTTTTCGTCATCTCTCCGCATTTTTCTCTTTCTAAATTTTTTGGTTCTCCCATAGTCCAACGCCATGTTCCAGTTGACGTCACGTTAATGCAGGGTATTCTTTCACTCAACCAACACCACGTATGAGACCCATTACCTCTTTTCAAGCCAATAAACCAACGTTTCTTTTTTCGCTTTTTGGTTAAGTTCTGGACAAAGTGCCATTCTTGTTCGGTTTCCATAGAGATAAGTGAACCATTCACTTCATTGCTACATTTTTCCTTGGCTGTACTCCAGTCAATTATTTCCTTGTGGAAAGAGTACTTGGAGCAGACCGTTACTAATATTTATGGGAAGCCGACAGATGAAAGAGAAAAAAGAAAAGCATGGAAAATGATCTATTTACTTATATTTTAATTATATATATCATTCAAGGATTATAGGAAGCTACACAGAAGGAGAACTCAGTAAACCCTCGGACACACACGAACCTTTTTACGCCTGCCGTGGTGCAGTGGGGATTGGCTGAACGAAACTGTGAATTTCCAAGATCAGATCTCTATATAAGTCAAAAAACACCTGAGGGGTGGCATCCACTTTCCCTTCCCCTTAATCCGATGTTTAATGAAATAAAGGTGAATTTGAACTCTGTCTCTGCATTATAACAACGAATACAAACACGTAGGGAGGTTATCTATAAAATCTTCTAAAGCTTTAACTATTCCCTCACGTTTTTCCTTTTGCGCTGGTTTTATAAGTAGCGAGGATTTAAAACGTTTTCCTGTAGGCTGATTTGTAGAGGATCAAGTCATGAAAATCGACTCATATCCTTTGCAAATTTTTTCCTAACCATCCGTGGACCCTGTTTGCTTTTTCTTGCCAAATGAACACAAACTTTACCTTTTTTCAAAAGAAAACATTGAGACAGTCGCAGCGGAATCCCAGCAAGATACATTTACAATGTACCCGTTTGATTGCCTTCAGTTTATATTTTACCGAGATCAATTCAAAGTATGATTGAATACTTAAGGATGAACGTGCTTATCATTGGTGACTTGTTCTTTAATAACATTAGTAACACGAAATGCAAACAGTAAAAAATTGCAAATAGCGGTCCTCATAATATATAGATTTAGCCAAGCCTAAGAGCGGAGCTCTTGTCAGTTTATTTTCCAGCCCTATGTTACACCGAATAAAAACTGTGATAAAACTCTTCAGCACTGGCTGTAGAATAGTTTCTTCAATGGATTGGAGGACCAGTTAGGGGGGTGCGGAGGTGGGGAAGAATTGACGAAGTCTGGAACCTGGGGACGACGTTCTTACAACTA